TGAGGAGATCACTGCCCGGAAGGAGGAAGGGGCAGAAACGCACACAGTTGTGATGGCGCTGGGACAAGGGCTGGCTGGGACTGGGAGAAGGCGTGGCTGGGGGGAGGGGGGTAAGATGCAGCTGGAGGGCACTCAACTGGGACTTTTGGGAGAGACAGGGCACCACATACAGCCCCGGCTTCCCCTCAGCCTGCAGGTCACCCCTCACTCACTGCAGACACAGCCTCCGGCCTCCCAGCCGCCTCCCCTGCCCGTTTTCCTTTAGTGAAAACTTCAGCTTCAACACCCCCTGGCTGAGCTCTGCCCTCTCAGTACACCTGTCTCTCCATTCCCTGACACGTCCCGCAGTCAACTGCCCATCCTTCCAGCTCTTCTGTTCAAACATGTTGCCCTAACCTCCTGACTCCAAAACCCCTTCCCCATTTCACTTTCCTTTTAGTCTGGATTAAATTTCACAGGGGTGTTACATCATTAATTGTTAGAGAAACACAAATCAAAATTACTGATATCCCCTCACCCCAGTCAGAATGGCCCTCATTAAAAAAAGCCACATATGATAAATGCTGGAGAGGGCACGGAGAAAAGGATACCCTCCTACACTGCTGGTGGGAGTACAAATTGGTGCAACTACCATGGAGGACAGTATGGAGGTTCCTTAAAAAAACTGAAACCAGACTTACCCTATGATCCAGCAATCCCACTCCTGGGCGTGTATCTGGAGGAAAATGTATTTTGAAAAGACACATGCACCCCAATGTTCACAGCAGCACTATTTACAGTAGCCAAACATGGAAACAACCCAAATGTGCATCAACAGATGACTGAATAAAGAAGCCGTACTCTATTTATATAATGGAATACTACTTAGGCCAAAAAAAGAATGAAAATGCCATTTGCAGCAACACTGGAGATTATCATTCTAAATGAAGCCAGAAAGAGAAAGAAAAATACCATATGATATCACTTACATGTGGAATGTTAAAAAAAAAGACACAAATGAACTTATCTACAAAACAGAAAGATTCACAGACACAGAGGCCAAACTTACGGTTACCAGAGGGGAAAGGGGGTGGGGACAGGATAAATCAGAGGTTTGAAATTTGCACCTCTTGGGGAGTGATGCAAATGTTAGCTATCTTGATTGTGGTTGTGGTTTCATGAATATACATCTATCAAAATCCACGAAACTGTACATCTGAAATGTATAGTTTACTGTACAGGGATCATACCACAATAAAGGTATTTTAAAAAAAAAAAGGACCATAAATGACAGACGAAGGCCAGTGCCCAGGAGTGTTTTCCAGAGGCCTTTGTCTTTGAATATCTAACAATTTCGGTGGGAGCTAAAACATGCTTATCTTCCTAACGTTGAAAATCTTTCTTCATCTTCATGGTTCAAGCAAGAGCAAAAGACATCACAGGGAGACCTCAAATTTCTAGACAGTATTCACCCTTAGTCACAGCAGTAGAGATCTCACATTTCTTGGTATCAAAGTATATTACAAACTAGAGTAATCAAGTGTTGTACTGCCACAGTGACAGATACAAAGGCCAGCGGAGCAGAGCAGAGGGCCCAGGGATAAACCCCTGCCTATATGGTCAAATAATTTTTGATAAGGGTGCCAAGATCATTCAATGGGGAGAGAACGGTTTTTTCAACAAATGGTACTGGGAAAACTGGACAGTCACATGCAAGAGAATGAAGTTGGACCCTCACTTAACGCCATATACAAAATTAACTCAGAGCAAGTCAAAGACCTAGGCATAAGAGCTAAAACCATAAAATTCTTAGGGGAAAAAAAAACGGGAAAAATCTTCATGGCACTGGATTTTGCAATGATTTCTTGGATTTGGCAGTAATTTACTGAACATGACACTAAAAGCACAGGCTACAAAAGAAAGAATAGATAAGGGAGACTTCATCAAAATTAAAAACTTTCATGCATCAAAGAATACTATCAACAGAGTGAAAAGGCAACCCATGGAATAGGAGAACATCTCTGCAAATCATTTATCTAGTAAGAGACTGATATCCAGAATATATGAAGAACACCTACAACTCAAAATACAAAACAAAAACCCTCATGCACCCTGACTTAAAAATGGGCAAAGAACTTAAATATATTTCTCCAGAGAAACCGTACAAATGACCAATAAGTGTATGAAAAGATGCTCAAGACTGCTTATCATTAAGGAAATGCAAATCAAAACCACAGTGAGGTATCACCTCACACCCATTAGGATGGCTGTTATCAAAAGAAAAATAGCCCATATGTGGAAAACTTACAGGGAAAAACAGAGTATTTTTTTAGAGAGTTTCATTTACAGTTTCATTGTCCTGATAAAACAGCTATTTTCCCTGTTTGTTTACTAAACTAATGGAAAACACATCACTAAACCTGAACAACCCCTTATATAACTTTTAGTAACAGCATTATAGAGATATAATTCACGACCATTACAGCCACCCTTTTAAAGGATATGTAATACAGTTTTTAGTATATTCACAAAGCTGTGTAATCACCACCACTATTTAATCTCGGAACAATTCTATCACCCCAAAATGAAATCTCGTACTTTTATAGGTTCACTTTATTTTTTTATTTTGTGCATTATGATGTGGGGGTTTTTTTGCAGGGGGGGTAGTGAGGTTTATTTATTTAATGGAGGTACTGGGGATTGACCCCAGGACCTTATTGTGCATGCTGAGCACACGCTCTCCCCCTGAGCTATACCCTCCCCCTAGTACTCCACACCCTTTAGCAGTAACTTTCCAACTCCCTTCCTAAAACAATGAAAACCATGAACAGATCTGTCTACTCTGGACTTTTCATATAAACGGAGTCATAAATATGTGGTCTTTCATGCCTGGCTTCTTTCACTTAGCATACTAGTTTCAAAGTTTATCCATCTTATACCATGTATCAGTATTTCATACCTTTTTATGGCTGAATAATACTCCATTGTACAGTTAGCTGTACCACATTTTGTTCACGGTACCCATTTTGCTGATGGGTATTTGGGCTGTTTCTACCTTCTGGCTATTACACATAATGCTATGAACATTCCTGAACAGGTTCTGTATGAACAGATTTTCCACTTTTTTTTGATATACAAGTAGAAGTGTTGACTAGAATACAGGACATGGTAACTCTATGTTTAACTTTCCAAAATACTGCCAACGTATTTTCCAAAGTGGGTACCCCATTTTACATTCCCAATACTTGGACAGTAAGTAGTAGTAATCTTAATGATGATAATCTTTTCTATTATAACCATCCTAGACGGTATGCAGTGGCATCTCAAGGAGGTTTTGCTGCACATTTAAGGACTAAGGATGCTGTTGAGTTTCTTTGCAAGGACTTGTTGGCTATTCAGACACCTCCTTTGAAGAAATGTCAAATCAAACTCTTTGCTTAATTTTTTAATTGGATTGTCTTTTTAATTTTTATTTTAAGAGTTTTTCTTATTCTGAATAAAAGTCCTTTATTGGATATATGACTTGTAAATATCTTCTCTCATTCTGTGGGGTGTGCTTTCATTTTTTTGATGATGTTCTATAGATGTCTGTCCCCTAATGATTTAAGACTCTATCTGCATCTAGACCACACATTTAGACCACACTTAAGAAAAAAACTATCAATTACCTAAATCTTAAAGTTTTCATATTATCTCCCACTTTTTATACTGACTACTTATTCCATATACATAATTATACATATATATATATATACACACACATAAAAATCAGGTCTCCCCTCGAAAAATACTAGTATCAGTTTCTAGCATCATATTAAGTGTTGGTTTCTAAGAGTGAAACCTACTAAAAAGATAAGCAGAAAAGAGCATATATGCCCACATGAGAACAGGTTTCTAAAACATGAAATCTCCCAATTTAGGTGAACAAGAGAAGAGAATATCTGATACGTCATTTGATAGCCTGACAGCTGACATGGCCATCCCAAATTTCCCAAGGGAGCTGGGTTACACCCAGTTGGAAAAAAAGAAAACCCTATTAAGTACCGGTTATTCAATGTGGAGACAGAAGGTGTAAAAAGGCTTGGGATATAAAAGCTGGGAGAGTTTTTCTCTATTCCTGAATAGAGAAGCCAAGCTATAACAAAGTAAAGCAGCGGAGTTTACAGTTGGGGTTTCATTTCAGCAATTTAAAATAAGCACAGGTACTTCACATCTGAAACAGCATTTCCAGCTCACTAAGCGATCACACAAACGCTGCCTTCTTCATTTCCCCACAAAGCCTCTGGAAGACTGTTACTGTCTTGCCTGTTCGATGGATTCAGAAGCAAAGTAACTTTCAGGGTCACATGGCAAGAACGAAACAGAATCATTATTTGAACCTGGGCTTCTAACTCCAAATGCGGGGCTATTTCCACCACGTCATGCCAAGAATACACACAGGCCTCTGAGTACTTTAGCCCTGTGTACATATAATTTACGAAAAAGACCTACAAAGGAAGGACATAGCCACACACTTGAGACAGGAAGCGCCTGAATGGGGAGGAGCAGCAAGCCTCCGTAAGTGAAGAGCAAATGGAGAAGGAGAGCCGTGCACATGCCCACAAGTCAAATGCGAACAGCAATCTTCAGTTCAGAGCTTCAGTATTTCCCACAGATGCCAACAGCATGACCAAATATAAGAAATGAGACAGAAAACAGAGTGATATGTAACATGGGGGAAAATAGGTAAAGGGTGAACAGAAACTCCATACTATTTTTGCAACACTTGTGACTCTATAATTACTCCAATGAGAAGAAAAAAGTGAAAAGATGCACAGGAGGTGGACAGGCCCTTGGTCGTACTTCCTAAGTTCACTGAACACCCAGTGTGCCAGCCCATCTGCCAGACAGCACCCTCAGTGAGCTCCAGATCCACGGGGGTGGAAAGACACACGGACCACCTATTCCAACACAGTGTATCAAGGTGCCTTCCTGTCTGGTGAGCTACTTGTCTGGTGACTCTTTAGCAGACAGAGAAAAAGGCAAGAGCACAACAGTGAAACAAATGTCAGTGCACCACAGGGGAAGCCGTCTGAGGTGTGCACTGGCGTGAAAATGCACACTCTGCTTACTGTCACGTCCCTCGCTTCCCTTCCTTGCTCTAGCAAGACTCATACAAATGCTGAGGAACTAGGAAACCTATATTCACAGAGCCCTCAAAGATAAGGAGTCCAGTGCTTGCTGAAGGAAGAAAACCAAAATGAGGGCTTTAGGGATCATTTACTCATTGACAAATCAGATCTTATTAGGACTGGCTACAAGTCCTCTCAGTGCCACACAGTGGGCTAGCAGAGGAAAATACTTCGTAGCATCAGCTGAGCAATGACAAAGACTCTGAAAACACAACGTTACACACCGCTTCCTACCCACACCCATTCAATCACACGTCAAGCATACAGACTTTAAATCTGTACTTTACGAAGTGTACACCCAATAGCTAGGGAAAAGTTGCTATGTTTCTCAGATCAACAATAACAGAACACTGCTGTTACTAAAATGACGTTTTTATATTCGTGTTTTATAGATTCTGGTAAAAACTCCAAAAGAAAAGCACAAGAATAGATCCACGCCGGGGCTATGTTAGTACATACTGAACTGTACATACAGATGCTCAAAGCAAGCAAAGTGAGCCGTGACTGCCTCAATGTGTGCCCAACATTGATGACTGTTCCTATTCATCACTACCGTGGTTTTCTTTACAGTACCAAAAAAACCTAACACTCACTCTAATCCTACATTTAAGGATGTAAGTGAATATAAACAAATACACATTTTAATACTGCTGATGAGAATAAAGTTCATAACTACCTAGGACAAGTTGGAAACATCTATCAAGAACCCTTAAATATACACTTTGACCCAACAGGTCCAAATCTAAGAATTCATCTAAGGAAATCATCTGTCAAGTACACTAAAATGTATAAAGTTGTTCACTGTAGCTGTTTGTGAAAAAAATTTTAATGAAAATAAATGTTCAAGAACAGGGAATTAGGAAAGAAATTACAGTACATCCAAGTCACATACCATGCAGTCACTAAAAGCCAAAGTAAAAATATATTCTTACTGGCCTGGAAAAAAAAAATCTACCATCAGCTTAGTGGAAAAAAGCAAACTAGAAAACAATATTCAAAATGTCCTTTTTGTTTATAAAATAAAAAATAGTCACATATTCTTCATGCATAGAAAAAATATGGGGAGAAATAAAGCAAAACAGTAACATTCTATTTTCCACAATGAAAATGTACTATTTATATAATTTTTAGAAATACATGTCAAAAATAGCAGTGGTGCCAACAGAAAAATGCTGCAAGCCTTCCAGATTATCTGGAAGACCACTTAAGAACAGGACACAGCAGTCGCCTCTGGAAATGGGGTGTGGAGGAAAGATAAAGAGAACAGAGGAAGACACTTTTCACTCTTTATTCTTGTGTACTTTTTAAACCATGTACACAGTATCTATTCAAAGGAAATATAAATTTTAAAACGTTTTAAAAAATGTTAATATTCTTTCTAGCAGCATAAGCATACTGTATTCAATAAACAGCAGAAAGTTACCTGTAAATTCAAATACAACTGTAATCCTGAAACCACAGGCAACATCAAAGAACTGAAAAAAGTTGAAATAGCCAGTTACTCAACGAATTGTCCATTTATAGTATACTCATCTCTAGAAAGCAGCATTGGTACTACCTCCAGGGAAACAAAGAGTAGTTCTAAACCCCCTTCAGCCATCGAATTCTTGCAAAGCCAAAAACAGAAAAACAAGTTAACAAGAAGACAAGAGCTCAATTCATTTTCATTCATTAAACTATAGCCATGTTTTAGTTCAAAAATAAGTGTATGACAAGACAGGGTCATATACTTCTACAAATTTACATTTTTAAGTGCATTAGCTATAGGATCCTCTTATCACAGGCCAGGTTTTGCTAAATCCTCTAAGAATGGATAATATCGACTTACAGTTATTTATTTATTCGTACATATACAAAATAAATTATTGTAGCATTAGTCTTTGTAGCATGGTTTTATAAATGGGAAACATTAGAAAGAATGAAGTGTTCCTCGAGAGGCCTGGGGAAGTCATGGAATGCCACGTAATAGCACTGCTCAGCCAGTCATCATTTTAAAAAAAAAAATGAGGAAGCCTTTAATGTACTGACAGAGATTGATTTCCAAGATACATTAAGAAGGGAAAAAAGCAAAATTCAACAGTCTACCATTTGTACAAAAAAGGAGAATAGGGGAAAGACAGACAGATACTGATATAGACATGTGTGTTTTCACATGTACAACTAATAACACTGCTGTCTCCAGGGAAGGGTACTGGCTGGATGGCAGGGCAGGAGGAAACCTAAATTTTAAAGTCATGTATATGTATTATCTGTTCAAAAAATAAATACCTTATAACAAAAATTTAATGCATTTAACCTGCAGTTCTAGTTCTTTCTGGGTAGCTTAAACAAGATGAAAGGAACCTTCACATACAACTACAGCAGATTTAAATTTAAACTTGCTTATAGTAAAAAGGTTCACAAGATTACCCTCTAGGTATTTTTTTTTAATTACAGCCAATAACGCATGTGACTACAATAAAAATCATGTAATTTAAGTATTACCATCACTATCCAGAAGCAATCTCCATAGCAAACAATTTCCCAAACACACAGTGACTAACCCCTCCCCACAAAATTCCAAAATTGAATCACTGATAAGTTGATGATTCAAGTAAAGATCTGAAAACAGAAAAGCCCTAATTTTATTAAGGCCTGGGGTGCCTGCAAGATGTTAGTTTCAACCCTCTCTCAGCAAGAGTGCTTTCTTGGCCCTCATCTGTGGCCACTTCACACAAATCAGACCACGGGGTTAATTCGGTCAAGAGTCAGGCCCCTGGTCCTGTGGTCACAAGCTAATTCTCCACCAAAACACCCCTTTTGTAAAGGCAAGGCAACAAACAGGCCCCAGAGTGCACAAGCAGGGGAGTGTGTACCCAGTTCAGGGCCTCACACCCTTCAGATCAGAACAGGAAGGGACACAGCCCTCCCCTCTTCAGTCTCCCACAGCGGCACACTTACCCTAGGATCATAACCATCTCCCTCCAGGCTCGCCTTCCTTACGGGCATAGTTCTTTGGGAACAGGGCTAAGAGACTCCCTCTGTTCTTAGGCACAACTGTAAGGTTTGTTGAAGAGTCCGATCAAAGTACATAGTGCATTTTCTACTAATTACCCAGATACACCCTAAAATAACTCTTATTTTAACGGCAGTGGTTTTCATTAAAGGTTCTCTGCCTATTCTCTCTGGTCCATTTCTCATTAACGCCCATGTGTACACTCCCTGTACCCCCTCCAGTCACTCATCCCACCCCAAAAGACATCTAGCAATCAAATCACTACAAGATGTTCCTAATCTTCCCCTGCTCAGTCATTCATTCATTCATGATTCCTAAAATTACTACTACACAATTCACTACAATACTACACAATATCGTCACTTTGTCTAAACAAATGTCTCCTTGGCAATTTCAGAAATCTACTCCCAATTCTGAAATGAATGAGAGAATGAAAAGCTTTCCATCATGCTTACTTTACAAATGCAGTGACAGGCCAAAGGCAATCTACGCAGCACCTCAATCACTACCAACGGCATGTTCGCTCAGCAGCAGGCCAGCATACCCACCATTTGCCCAAATCCACTCCACAGACAACAATGTGCCATCCAAACCACTTCTTTTTAAGGGGCCACCATCCTCAGAAGGGGATCCCATGTTGGGAATGTCTCAGGAATGATAAAAATGCTTCTTAGATCAAATGTTTTAGACAAAGGTACAGATTCAGATACGTAACAGGCCCAAATTCCCCTAAATAAGGCCAGAGGCAGCAAAGAAAACAGCATCTCTCCCTCCCTGGCATGAGCCACTACTCCTGAGGGAGTTCAAGCTCTTGCTGAATCACTCTGTTGGCTGGCAGTTATCTTGAAAGCATCTTAAATGTTGGATTTGCTCTGGCCTCTCTGATGTTACATTGTTTAGAACTAGACAATTAAAAAATAATTCCTTTGTTTTCACTGTTACTAATAAGGATCTACTGAAATAAGTAATGGACGGATAACCAGTATTTCAAAATTAAAGTGTTACTATAACAAGATGCTAAGAAATACCTACTTTGGAGTCAAAATCTGCTAGAAAACAAAATACCAAAGGCCAACTTTTAAGCTGAACCTTCCCTTCACTGACATCTGGACAGTAGATTACAGAACAGACTCCCAAGGGAGATCCGATCACTCAGGACAAGTAACATAAGACCCTACTGAACACTAGAGTGATGGAGGGAAATCTGATAACAAGGACCCAGAGAGATCAAATACTTCACTAGTTAACTTTTGGGATTTCTAGGCAAAAGAAGAATTTTCTAATGATATTTAATTTTCTTGTTAGAAAAATAATATACACTCATTGTATGAACATAATAATTTGTAAAATTTTTTTTACATTTTATTTTTTATTACTATTTTCCCCCTTAACAGAGACACTGGGGATTGAACCCAGGACCTTGTGCACACAAAGCATGCACTCTACTGCCAAGCTATACCCGCACCTTCCCCTTAAAATAATTTTTAAAACTAACATTTGTCAAAAATGAAAAGGCAGGGTCTGGGTACACAAAATTCGCACCTAAAATGCATACAATTCCCAGGTGAAAATTCATCATGATCTTAAATAACAACTTAAAATATTTTGATCACCATGAAAGGAGCCCTGTGAGCTGCAACCTAAGTGAGGCTTATCCATAAAGCTTACGTCACAAACAAAACATTTCCTAAGGCGCCAGAAAGACCCAATACTATTATCAATCCCCACATTTGGAAAAATGATGTAAAAGGACGTGAATTTAAAATCTTAAAGAACTTTATGATATACTGATCATTAATCTTTTAAGAATAATTTTGCACAATTACACAAATGTATTCACAAAGATCTATGTTTAGCTTTACAATT